TCTTTTTTTTTTTTTTTTTTTTTAAAGAGAAATGTTTGCTACAGGGTGCATGTGCTTGCAGGAGAGACAGAGAGACAGACATAAAAAGTGAGAAATCACCTTGGGTTGGGAGGGGGATGGCCATGCCACAATCTCTTCTCCATTCTCCTTTTGCAGTCTCGGGCATGCACATACGCACCCAGCGTGAGTCTTTTAGGTCGCCAAGTCCCAGACTCCAACTGTGGTTGACTCCATGGAAGGTGAGAGTCCAGTGGTATAACCATTATACCCTCTGCTGGTCCCTCGGCTTCACTTTTTTACCGAGGTACTGGGACCAAGGCATGTCAAGCACTTCCATTTTTATTGCATTTTATTCTCACCACAGTCCCAGGTGGGCTATTTGGTTCCATGCTGTTGAGTCGTCAAGAATGTCATTTTTGCATAGAAAAACATGGAAAAATACAACCTAATAAAAATGAGAAAACTGAGGCTCAGAAACTTATTAAACTGCCCAAGATCACATTACGTATTAAGTGGCTCACCCTAGCCTTGGTAGAACAGAGCACAGTCGGTAGCATATCGAACTATAGAAGTCACAGGGTCACCAGGAGTTTGGATCCCTGACTTGTGGACCTAAATATGCTGGGTAGGTACATGCATAAACTCTAGATTCTAACAAGCTGGAAGGCCCCAGAAAAGGAGATTATGGCATGATGAGACCCGGCTAAGGGTATTTCTCTCATGTGGGCACACTCATATACTACTGTCATTTTTTTTAGAGGTTTTTGCTATAGGGCACATGCACTCGCCAGAAAGACAGAGAGAGAAAGTGAGAAATCACCCCCCAGGGGGGATTGCCACGCCGCAATCCCTTCTCCTCCACTCTCCTCTCGGGATCTTGGGCACGCACACACATGCACCTGGTGTGAGTTTAAGCCACCGGGTCCAGGACTCGAACCACAGTCCAACTACATGGGAGTCCAGCAACATAGCCATTATGCCAACTGCTGGTCCCTCTAAATAGGATTTAAAAATTAGTAAGTAGCAGAAACGAGGTTGGAACCCAAGAATGTTTGACCATGGGCCACTGTTTTCTTATTTAATAGAATTTATGGTGGTTTTTAAAAAATGCATAATACTGTCCTAAAAAACTAGGATGAACATTAAAAGACATACGGCACCTTCTTGTATATAGAACTCATTACTAACAGATGAAAAACACATGTACAGTCCATTACCAAAAGTAGGTTAATGCCTTTATTTACATGAAGTCAAAAAGAAATGAGACAATCCAAGTAAGGAAATTGTTTAGATAAATAAAACTTCGAAAAATGTTTTTAATATTTTCATTATAGGCTATAGTCCTCTGCCCTGCAATAGAATATAGTGAATATAGTTTACCTTTAGGGAGAGGACTATCATTATAGACATGAATTATTTTTGGCATTGGAAATCCCTGAACTTTATTTTTAAGCCAATGGTAAGTACCCAAAGACTAAAGTTCAAAAACCAGAAACAAAATGAAAGAGAATATAAACAGCCATCATTGTCTAGCTGTTTCTCATTCTAGTGGTCATAAAGGAATTCTACTTAATGTCAAACAAAGGAAGTCTCCCAATTAGAGACAAGTTAAAAAATCTTGTTACTATCACTGCAATGGTATTATAGGCTCTTCTTGAGTTCCAATCTCTCCACTTGTTATTTTCCATTTAATGGGTCTTTGGTCTTATTGTCAAAGCATCCCTTTCCCTAGAGGAAGAGATGAGTAGTAAATATGTACAGAATATTATCCAATATTTCTCGCTACCACCCCAGGAAATCTCATTAAATATAAAAGTGGAATACTCACTGGACGAGTGCCTGTCAGTGGCAACTCAGTAATGATTTACTGGTGGATGAATACCTTAAATTTCATCTCTACCTGTTACTCTCCCAGCTCAAAAACTTATGACCTTGATTAAACCTCACTGGTTACTAGTTAGGAAACTAAACAAGGCTCGCAGGAAAGCTAATTCATAACGTTTATGACTCAGGCATTCTAAAGACTTCTCTAGGGCAAGATCAAGCACCTAGTCACTTAGACAACTGCCCCCACTCCCTAGCTCTGGAATTTTTTGGGAAAGAGATAGAGACCCATCACGCACTGCATGCCACTCCTTTTTGCATCTATTCCTAGTCACACTTGGAAAGACTCTATTTTCCAGTTTGTTTCACTTTTCCTTGATCCTCTACTTTCTTAATGGCTGCTTGGATACTCTCTTGGGCACTCAAGAACTCGTAAGGCCAACAGCATGCAGGTTTTCATCCAGTTCCAAGAGAATGGGAACTCCAGTAGCAAGAGTAATGTTGATAATGTCTTCATCTGAGATACCTTCCAGTCATTTCAGAAGTGCTCTACTGCTATTGCCATGAGCAGATATCAGAATGGTATTGCCTCTTAACACTTCCTGAGCAATCCTTTCATTCCAATAGGAAAGGAGTCTCTGTAGAACCTCCTTTAAGCTTTCAGAACACAGTAGTTAATCCAAGGGTACACTGCACACTTTACACTTTCATTCACTGTAGATCTCCAGGTGATAAGGATGTGACTTGTCAATAGGAGGAGGGGTCCCATTGTAGCTTCTTCTCCAGAGCCTTACTTGTTCTCACCATGATTTAAAGCCATTTTCTCCAGGTTGAGACCAATCAAAGCTCGACAGTGATATTCATTTAGACACCAAGAACTTTCTACAGGAATCCATCCCTGCTCCAGCTTTCTCAGGATCAGGGAGGCTGTGTGTATGGACCAGTTAAGGACAGTGTGAAGGCAAAAATCAAGCTCATTTAGTGCTTTGAGTAGCTTCCCACCATTCTGAACTTCCTCCATTCCTTCTTCAAGTTTCTGATTCACCCAGCTAAAAAAGTGGTTCTCTTCATTCCAAACACCCTCTCCATGTCTTGGCATATTAAGCTCATACTCAGTCCTGTTGATGGGCTGAGCTCCCTAGCAAAACATATGCAAAGAAACCACCAGTAGCAGCCAGTACCTCCTACTGGATACCCTCTCCTGGGTATAGAAATGAAATGAAATTTTATACCGCACCAGAAAAGAATGATATCCTCAAAGGTTACTGACACTCTCAATGTGCATTGGGTCATCTGCACCTTCATCAAGGGATCACTGACATCAGTGTTTGCTAAGTCCTTCTGTCTAGATAGTTTGGGGATGGGAAGAGGATGTAGGAATGAGCCTCTGAGCCCCAACTTTGTTAGTCGTCAAACCTCCTAGCCATTTTCTAGCTCTATAATCATAGGTAAGTTATTTAAACATTTTATCCTTCAGTTTTCTCATGTGTAAGACAAAAATAATCATCTTAAGGGACAATTAAATGAATTAACAGGCCCAGCCTCTGTAGCACAGCAGTAATGTAAGTACTCTGCAAGGCTGGAAGCTAGGTGGCTGACCCTGAGTACGGAACATCAGACTGACTTTAAAACATGCCAGGCATGGGTGCCCTGGGAAGCTGGATGGATGGGGAAAGGGGATCGTGGCATGAGACTCCATTGAAGGTGTCTTTCTCTCTCTCTCTCCTGTATGTACTCATGCTATTTTAAAAAATAAAATGAACTGGGGCTGGCAGGTGGTGTAGTGGTTAAGGTCATTAGACTCCCACATGGCTAACCATGGTTTGAGTCCTGGACCTGGCAGCTTCCTTTCTCACTTTCTCTCTCTCTCTCTCTCTCTCTCTCTCTCTCTGAGAGTAGAGGAGAAGGGATTGCGGCATGGCCATACCCCTCAGGGATGATTTCTCACTTTCTGTCTCTGTGTCTCTCTCTGTCTTTCTGGCAAGCAGACAAGCCCTATAGCAAAAAACACTCTTAAAAAAAAAAAGAAAAAAAGAAAAGAAAAGAAAAGAAAAAGAAAAAAAATACTTAGCTAAGAATAACTTTCGGGGCCAACAGATGGCGTGGTGATTAAGGGAGCTGGACTCCCACATGGCTAACTGTGGTTCAAGTCCCAGACCTGGCAGCTTGCTTTCTCTCTTTCTCTCTCTGTCTCTCTCTCTCATACTCTCTACCTCTCTGGCCAAATTAAAATAAATAAATAAATAGGTAAAATAATTCTTTAAAAAAAAGAACTGATATACATAAAGAGGTTAGAGCCATGCATAGTACATGGTATACTTGCTTAGTATAATTATTTTTATCATTATTATCATTTAGGTTTTTTTTGAGCTCTCAAAGTATAAAATTATAAGGGATTAGCTATAGATTTGTGCATAAAAAGATCCATCATTGCTGTGCATTGCTCCCCGTGTTGCGTATATGTGAGTGTGTGTGTGTGATTTGGACAAGGATAAGAAGAGTCACATGTGCCATTTTAAGCATTCCAGTAGCCACATTAAAAATGTAAAAAGGAACAGATGAAATTACCTTTAGCAAAGTATTTTACTTAACCCAATACAGCTGAATTATTTTTTCAACCTGTGAACAGTATAAACCTTATCAGTGAGGTATTTTACATAATTTTTATACTAAGTTTTCAAAAGACGCTGTCTACACAATACAGAATTTTCTGTCTCCTCCCATTTGAAGAGCTCTACAGTCACTATCAACTTGGACGGCACAGTGCTAGATAAATGGTGAGATCAGAAGTCAGACACATGACACGTCTAAAGGAGAGGGCTAGAGAGAGTAATGAAGAAGCAAGACAAACTTGACTGAAGATAGAAGAGAAGGAAGAGAGATTTTCTGCAAAGGAAAGATAACTGTGTCTTTCTTCCCATGATAAAGTGCATATTTCATCATTCCCCTTGTCAAACAGAATCCTGATTAATGATCTACAGGAAGAGATTGAGAAGCAGTTTGACGTTAAGGAAGACAAGCCAGGCAGGCACAGCTACAGGAAATACAATAGCTGGGACAAGGTACAGTACAAACTGCCCATACTGCAAAAAAGAGGGGGCCTCCATACTTGTCATTTAGTTTTCTCTCATTCTAATTCCTCGAATTTGATTTTACTCTTTAAGATTGTGGCTTGGACTGAAAAAATGGTGAATAAGAATCCCAAAATGGTCTCTCGTATTCAAATTGGGTCTACAGTTGAAGATAATCCACTCTATGTTCTCCAGGTAAAAATAATTCAAGAATCATTTATTATTATTATTGTTGGAAGGCATGAATTTAAAAGTTATCTTCTGACACAACTGAGTTAATTGTGAGACAGTGAAAAGTCTTGTCTTTTGAAGAACATTTAAGCGCTGGACATGCATTCAAGAACAGATGTTTTCAGTAGAACCAGGAAAGTTTCTTAATAAACATTTGACAAAGACAGCACAGTGGACCAAACTGGATAAATACCTTATCTCAGAGCTTTTATAAGAGTTTTGATGTCCCTGATGTATAAAACCCTTGTTTACCCATTGCGATGGGTCAGTCCTATGCCCTAATGGTAAGGAAGCTGGATTCCGTATGGCCAACTAGGTTAGAATACTGAGTATAGCAGCCAGGCATGTGTGTATGAGTGCCCTAAATCCTGACTGGTTGGAGAAATGGAAGAGAAAGAACTGCCATGTCAACAGACCCCAATGGGGAATGCTTTCTCTACCCACTCCCCTGGTGAGCATGTGTGCTCTCTGGCAATTAAAAAACAAACATTCACTGAAACTGAGGAATGACTATCATAAAGAGACATTAAAGTATCATAGGTTCACACGACAGTATGTTAGGGATTTCAACCCTGTGTTGACAGATTTTCTTCAACAGCAGATCAGATGACTGCCATTCAGCTGTTGCTGAATTCGTGTTCAACAAAAGATACTGGCTCCTACAGCCACCCCTTAGTAACTAGGAAGACCATGCTTACCCTGAACCCCCATCTATTCATTGTCTCTGACCATCCAAAACAAATGTAAATGCCCTTCAAAATGACAGCTCTTCGAATATCCAGTACTATTCCTCCTCCTCTCTCCAAACATAACACAAAATCTTCTCCACTCCAGGCTAAATATGCCTAGTTCATGAAGCCAGAAAAACAAGGAAATGGCAGGAACAGAAGTGACTAGAATCTATTTCTCAGAATATAGCATACTAGCAATAAAAATGGGGAAAATAAAAGATTATGATTTAAAAAAAAAAACCTATAAACAGCTCTGACACTAAGAAATAATTTTTAAACATACAATGTTATAGATTATGAATTATGTATAGACTTTCAATGATAGTGCTATTGTCCTCCCTATTGTACAAGCATGCACTGTTCTCATTCAGCAATAGATGCTCAAGAGTTGCTTTGAGAATACGAATGTGTTATTGGACGATGAGGGATCGATGTGTGAGTTCGTGCAAAATAATATCTCGAGTTTATTTTTAAATAGATTGGGAAAGGAGGTGAAAGTAGAAAGGCTATTTTTATGGACTGCGGAATTCATGCACGAGAATGGGTCTCCCCAGCATTCTGCCAGTGGTTTGTCTATCAGGTAAGTGAATCGGAACACTCACAATTTTTCGACAGTCAAATCTCTAGCACTTCACTGAGTGGTGACACCCCTTTCCAAATGAGTGCAGTTCCACTTAACTAGAAGAGCCCACATTTGGTGCTGTCAGGGAATAACTGCGCTGGATTTTACTCCTCATTGCAGTTTTTATCAAATTGACACCTTCCTTCAAACTTCTTGAACTCCAGCTGAGAGTTTATGAAATGAACAGAAACTTTTTGGGGGCTGAATATGAAAGTTTTTCCTATAGTTATATATGAAAAATCTGAAGCTACCTTCATGTGACAGCCTACATATTTGACCTTTTTTCAATGAGATCAAAACATGGACCTTTAGTTTTGGTTTAGTTATTTCACTGGCTACACACGTTCTTGAAGTGTTCATTCTTAAATTTTCTTTTCAAGTATGATTTAACTTTTTAAAATGTAAATCTAAATGTAAATCTAATTTGTATCTTCACTATTCTCCTCCTTCTACTGCTTTTGTATTCTGACTCTTATTATCAATTTCTTTCTTTCTTTCTTTCTTTCTTTCTTTCTTTCTTTCTCTCTCTCTCTCTCTTTCTCTCTTTCTTTCTTTCTTTCTCTCTCTCTCTCTCTTTTTTTTAATTTTGCTAGAGGGCATGTGTGCTGCTGGAGAGAAATTTTAAAAAAGCAGAAGGTTGGAAAGGAGGGATTGTCAGGGAGGAGTTAGAAAACACTCCTATGGGGCATGGTCATGATGCAATTCCTTCTCCAGTTTTTCTTCCTTTCCAGATTTTGGGCATGCACACACAGCACCCAGCATTTTTTCAAGCCACTGTTCAGGGACTTGTACCACACAGTAAGCCAGTGGGCTCGAGCCACCTTAATCACCATGCCCCCAGCTGTCTTTTGACATTCTCTTTCTTTCAGCTTCAATACATAACTCACTAGTAGAATTACGGGTGACATGGGACAGTTTTTTTTCTGGGCATGGATACTTTCACTAGGAAAGAATCTGTAGGTGAATTGACTTATCCCTGCAGTTGTTTTAGTTCTCCAAATGAGGGCCAAGAGTTCCCCTCACTCGCCTCCTAAAAAAAGTACATATAGAGAAAAAAAAAAAAATCTCTTAGCTCCAATACAGAGGGGATTTTCCAAGACTGATAAAAGACATTTTAAGTAGCTATAGGAAGTCTAAATAATTGGATAAATTGTATTCAAACATGAGGGGGGAAAAGTTGTTTGAATAATCTCTAAATTTTTGAGTTTTTATTGGTAGAAATGAATTTTTAATCCTATTCATAACTATTTTATGAATCCTTTCCAATATTTTCATATTCTTGTGCTTACAAATTTATCCTATATTTATGTAAAGAATGTGAAGGAAAGAATCCATTTAAAATAAAGTGTACATGGGAGCAGCAGATGGCTTAATGTTTATGTTGCTGGACTCCCACATGGTTGACCACAGTTCAAGTCCCAGATCCAGTGGCATTAAAATTCATGCCAGGCACATGTGTGTGTGTGCCCAAGATCCGAAGAGGAGAATGGAGAGGAAGAGATTGTGACCTGGCCATCACCACCCAGGCGGGAGGTGGGGGCGGTGATTTCTTGCTTTCTATCTCTGTCTCTCCAGTGAGCGCACACCCCCCATAGCAAAAATCTCTCTAAAAAAATAAACAAATAAAAAGAAAAAAAAATCATGTGTACTGCTAATTTTCAACTTGACCTCTAATTTTCCTGTGAAACAAATTTTACAGGCTACATTTGGAATGCAACAGGCCTTGATTATTCATTGATCCTTTAAAGAATGCTTCTTTCAATTAATTTTACTAGTCTGACTTTTTTTTTCCTTGTAATCGATAAGGGCCTTAGGAGTAGGGAACATGTTTGAAATCCTGTGACTACGGGTAAATGACTCAAGGAATGGTAGTTAACACTACTTTAATGACAGCTTCCCACATGGCATTCAAACTTCACAGCAATAGCTTAATTTTTCCCTACCCACAGGCAATCAAAACTTATGGAAGAAAAAAAATTATGACCAAACTCTTGGACCGAATGAATTTTTATGTACTTCCTGTGTTCAACGTTGATGGATATATCTGGTCTTGGACACAGGTACTGCTCTGCACTCTTGTATTTGCATTTGTATGATATATTACTTACTAGTTTTAATGCACATTGATCGTTATGCATTAAGTTTAAAATTTAGGTAATGAGTTAATTCCATTCAGAAGAGTATATACATGATTTTAATTCTCATTTTCAGACTGAATCAAGCATAATTTCCTGATTACATAGGTGCCCTTGAGATAATATGAAGTTTTTGCTGCTAAAGCTAGGAATGTAGGAAAAAGTAAATAAGCAGTAATAAATTTAAGCTAGTAATGTAGAAAAAAATAAGTAAGCAGTAATAAATAAGCCAGAAATGTATAATTGTACTATGTGGCAAAAGCATATAATAACTTCAGAATAAAATCACTTAAAGACATTATGGTACATTAATTTCAAAGCAAAAGTCATATATTTCATCAGTTTGGAATTTGAGATGAAACTGTTGTACTCAAAAAATGAAGGCGAAGCATAGGTGTCTATTTGTCTTTTAACAGGATTCTTTTATTGTACTGTTGTCGAATAAGATTAATACCGAACTTTTAGATTTTCACCTCAAGTTCTTTACTGAAAATTATGTTCCAATAGTCATGATTTGACCTGCATTACATCTAAATCTATGGTGAAAGATATAATGAAGTTATCATTTAAATTATAGGTAATTTTAGAACACTGTGGTTCATTTTCTAATACCTAGAACTAATCAATAGGTTTTAAAACTAACCAAATAGTTTCATGAAGGCCTAAGAACATTAATATTGTAAATCATGTTTTTGGAAGTACTATAAGCTGTAAGAAAACAATATTTTTTCTTTATCATAAAGGGCCTCAAGTTAACTAGATAGATTTCAAATAAAACTGTAGACACCAGCAGAGAGAATCTGAAGTGATCAAATTGAAAAAGACAAACTGATCTTGTGTAAACACTTCAATCATTCTATCCGGCAGAACCGCATGTGGAGAAAAAATCGGTCCAAAAACCAAAACTCCAAATGCATTGGCACTGACCTCAACAGGAATTTTAATGTTTCCTGGAACTGTGAGTAGCAGACTTGGTCTCAAAGAAAATTGCTAAAAAGAACATTTAGACACCGAACTTAAGAAACCACTTATTTGTTTCAGTAAAAATAGGAATTCCCTGTTTGAATAGTCATTTTCTTACCTATAAAATGGAAGCTAGTCGTCATGCCATCAAGGGATCGTGAATGTTTTAACCATGTGGGAGGAAGTGGGGAAGCAGGGACTGTGTATCAAGCCATCTCTTATTTAATATCTCTAGCTTGCTGAAAATCAGGCACAATTTAGATATGCACAAATCCAGATCATCAGAATAGAGACCTCATATCTTGATTCTTCCTGGTCTGATAAAAGCTGAGCAATACCAGTGGCTAAAACCAACATACAGGTAGCTCTTCACAAGATTAATGAAAAGAAACATCTGAGATAAAGAAAGTTTAAATTAAAAAAAATAAAATAAAAAAGCCTAACAGGAATACAGTGATAAACAGCAGTCTACATCAGATGATGTTGTAGTTGTTGCACAACTATGACTTTATCATTACACACTTCCAAGGAGAAATATCACTGCCTCGTTTATATTTTTCTTTTGTTTTTTTTTTTTGGGGGGGGAGAAGTTTTCGCTATAGGGCACGTGCGCTCTCCAGAAAGACAAAGAGAGACAGAAAGTGAGAAATCACCCTCCAGGGGGAATGGCCACGCAGCAATCCCTTCTCCTCCATTCTCTTCTCAGGATCTTAGGCACACACGCACACGCGCCCAGTGTGAGTTTAAGCCACCGGGTCCAGGACTTGAACTGCAGTCGACTACATGGGAGTCCAGCAACGTAGCCATTACACCAACTGTAGGACCCTCATTCATATTTTTCTTCTTTACCTAATTTCATTGAAAATACCATCTCTGCTCTTAACTCTCTTCTGCCACAATGGCTATGATAATCACACCAGTTATTTATTTTGTTTTTGCTATACACTTGCCAGAGAGAGAGCAAGAGTGAAAGTGAGAGAGAGAAAGTGAGAAATCACACCTCCTCCATCAGGGAGTATGGTCATGTTGCAATCCCTTCTCTTCCATTCTCCATTCTCTTCTCAGGATTTTCGACATGCATGTACATGTACCAGCTTGATTTTCAAGCCACCGGGTCAGGGACTCTAATTGGGGAGTTGGCCATGTGAGATCCAGCACCTTAACCTCCCTGCCACCTGCTGGCCCTCAGAGCAGCTATTCATTTTGCTGAAACAAGCTAAAGAAACTCAGGCTCAGAGAAGATCATTTATATCAGTCCCCAGTGAGTGAGAGCTAGGGTTGAATTGGAACTGGTGTCTCTCTGACTCCAAGTCCTGGTCTATTTCAGGTTTACTATTCTTGTGACCCTAGGAAAAGAAGAAGTAAACAAAACCGAGAATATTCCTGGGGGCGAATTCTGGTACAATCTGAAATGTGTGTGCAAAATCAGTCTGCAGTGACTACCACATCACAGACACTGAAGCAGCCCTGAAAACAGGAGAGGCCAAAATGTTCCAAATATTTAGTAACTCCACATCAGAAAAGGCAGGGCTGCGAGGACGGGGCATATTGTGATTTCATCCATACATGTCTTCTGCAGCTTTTCATAACACAGGAAATCCCTGTCAGGACATCTACAGGGGCCCTGCACCAGAGTCTGAGAAAGAAACGAAAGCTGTCACTGACTTCATTCGAAGCCACCTGAAAACCATCAAGGCATACATCACTTTCCATTCCTACTCCCAGATGCTATTGTTTCCCTATGGGTATACAACAGACAAGCCACCCAACCATGGGGACCTGGTATGTGGAAACACGTCTGTGGTTTATACATTCATGACGTCATTGACATTCAGCCTGTTCTTCATTAACTTGGGTTAGACTGAAACAGCTTCACATCTTCATTCCAAAGAAATGAGCTAATTAGGATTGCATTGGAGTTAAAAATCATGATCTTTAGATTTATTTTTCATTTGACAAAAGTATAGAGATAATAAGATTTTTCAATGTGATCCTAAGAAAAAGTCAGGAAGGAGAAATAGCTAGGCCATCCAGAGAACAATTCTGTTAGCACGCAGCTCCTTGTGGAGTTTAGCATGTACTCCAATTCTTACTGCAAACCCACACACAGCAAAAGTCTAATAGAACAGAAAAGGCCTTTGCTAGTCCGGTCCCCTGAGACACCAGAACTAAGGAGATCGATTCCTTGTGTCTGCCTCTTCCTGATCATCTTGGAAAGGATATTAGAGTAATTCTTTTTTAAAAAATTATTTCCAGTGGGCAGGTGCACACACCAGAGAGAGACCCTTCTCCCCGCACCCCCACCCAAGTGGAATGTGCCACACAGCAATCCTTGTTCCTCCATTTCTCCATCCTGTCAGAATTATGGGCACACTTGTACCTGTGCCCAGTGTGTCTTCAAGCCACTGTGCCAAGATATAGATCTCAGTCAGCCATGTGGGCTCCAGCTTCCTAAGCACTGCACTTAACCTCTGTGCTGCATGGCCAGCCCTGTGGTAACTCTTTCACTATCCAGAGGAAGATCATGATGAATTTTTGTGAAGCTTCCTCACGAGTAATAGGCTGTCTTTCCAGAACAATGTCCATTAACCATCATTTGCCTTTCTATAAAAATCAATTGGAGCATGTGAGTTTAAAGAGAAAAAATTTCCCATTTGGGTTCCAAAGAATTAGAGGAATTGACAGAGCTAATGGATGGATTGAGGGATAAATATTTTAATGGCCGTAAAAGAAAAGTAGTAAAGCTGATAATGTTCTCATCCTAAATTCCATCATGGTTGGTAAATATAGCACAGTCAATAAAAGCTGAGGTTCAAATACGGCCTTATAAAAAATGTTTTAATTTACAACTAGGTCACAACTTTTATTTATACCTCGGTCAATTGTATTCAGTACAACAGCATTTACTTTTAGTTGGAAAAGAGATTTGAAGCGATTGTTCAGATATGTGTGTACCGACAACAAAGAAAATATACAAGCAAGATGTGGCCCTTAGAGTCATTCAACAAGTCTAGCTGAGAATCAAACCCATCAGTTGATTAATTTATGCAAAGATCCAGCAAGACAATTTCTATCTACTGTTAGGAAAGTGACACTATAGATTTTAAAAATGTATATATGCACGATAAGCCACTTTGAGTAAAATAAGAGTTCTTGCACAACAAATTGAAAACAACAGAGTTCTTTGTTATAATATTATATATGTAGACTAAATGTATAATCTTAATTTGGAGTGCAAGTATGTTGATGACTGTATTCCACTGAAGCATGTTAAGTACGTTAGTGACTATATTCCATTAAGTTCATTTTGGCAATCATTCTTACAGCATGAAACACTCACAGGTGCTGAAAGTCATAAAATCCTATTGCAGAAGAAAAATCCTAATATAACCAACTCTTTTAGAGAGAAATCAGCCACCTTTTTTTGGTGCACTGAAGTTGGGTGAGTATAGAAAGTCCCATGACAATACGGGACCTGTTAAAGATAAAAGAACAAAGAACATAAGTGAAACTGAAGAAAAAAAAAAATTCTGAGAGGAAGAAGAAGGTATAGTTTAAAAGAAAGAGAGAGAGAAGAAAGGGTAGAAACACAGAAATGGCATGAACGGATCCAGCTGATTTCACACATTTACAAGAGTCTTTCCAATCACAATGTTTCTTACTGAAAAAAGAAAAACGTTTCTCATTTAACCATTTATTTTATTTTGACCATCCTATGCCAAGTAACCTGAAAAAGTGACTTTTTTAAGTTCCCTGTAAATGAATATTTACATAATATTCTATTTATTGTTCCACTCTTACTTTCCTTCCTCTCCAGGACAAAGTTGCCAAGATTGGCACTGATGTTCTAGCTACTCGGTATGAAACCCGCTACATCTACGGCCCAATAGCATCAACAATTTGTAAGTTTTTCCTTTCATTTACTGTGTTCTTTTCCTTAGTTCTTTTATACAAATATTAAAGAAGCAAATAGAATTTTTAGAGTTAAAACATTTGGAATTGCTAGTTTAAATTGTAGTTTGCACGCAAGATTCTGAATTATATGGGAATCTAGGGAATAAAAACTTCCCTTTCTTGGAATAAGATTTTTCTGGAGACAAATTATACTGAACTTTTACAAGGTTACAAAGTCAACCAAAGTTATTGAATCAAGACAGATTTATACCACCAATGATGTTTAATCCTCATAGGAGCTAATAAGAATTAGCTGTTTTTTTAAAAAAACAGAATTATTTTATTTAACTTTACTTAGATTTTTATTTGACAAGAGAGGGACAGAGTAAGAGAGAAAGTGAGAAAGCAAACTACCAGGTCCAGGAATTGAACCACGATTGGCTATGTGGGAGTCCAGTGCTCTTAACCACCATGCTACCTGCCGCCCCCCAAAATTAGTTGGTTTTTAACCATTTAATTGTTTAAGAGGTTTTTGCTATAGGGCGTGTGTGCTCACCAGACAGACAGAGAGACAGAAAGCAAGAAATCACCCCTCAAGGGGGGATGGCCACGCCACAATCCTTTCTCCTCCATTCTCCTCTCGGGATCTCAGGCTCTCGGGCACACACAAACATGTGCCCGGCGTTAGTTTTAAGCCATCAGGTCCAGGACACAAACTGTGGTCGACTACATGGGAGTCCAGCAACATAGCCATTATGCTAACTGCTGGTCCCACCATTTAGCTTTAATTGCACTGTTTTTTACTTGGCCTTGTGCCCACATAAGTAGTTTTTTCACTGCCTCTTGATGGGAAATGGGTAAACAATCGGTTTCAGCCACTTTGGTCATGTACGACCAGTTTCTTGTCCTCAAGTGTTCCTTCATTTTATTCACCGACATCTGTATGATGAACTAATGAAGGCAGTCCCAAGGTTCTGGCTCTGTTGCTTTCACTTATATTCTCAGCGCCATGTCGTACTTTATCTTTTAGACTTGCATTGTCTTTGTGTGTTTTTTAAATATTAGCTTAGATTTCTTGGCATTGATTTTCTTGTCTCTTTTTCTATATACAAGGAATCAGCAAATATTTTCTGTAAAAAGGCCAGATATTAATAGTTTCAACTTTGCTGGAGGAAGGGGCTCTGTCGCAGTTACTCAGTTGGGGTGTCACTGCTCAAAAGCAACCATAGATAGTAAGTTACCAAATGGACATGACTAGGCTCCAGTAGATCCTCATTCATATTGACACCATATCCAGTCCTTTACTATCTTAGAAATAACTGATATTGTTCCCATTAAGCAAGACTGATTATTTGAATTGATAGGAACCAGTTAGCTTGCATCCTGAATAAGATCCATCTATGAGTCTCATTATGAATTACAAAGTCAATTTCAAAGATCCTTTCTCAATGCTTTCCCTGTGCACCAAAACTGCTAAATCTGCTCCTAGTTCTCAATTCAGTGACCTCTTCCATATTATATACTCTGCGTCTTGAAAAGCATAAAGTCAAGATTTATAGGTCAGGACACGCAATCTCTACTTCCTAAGCAACGTTCGAACTGAGATTACATTAAGGGGAGACAGAAGAGCAAACATTTCAATTTATGTCTATGTATCTCTGGCTTTAGCTTTTGCTTCAAACAGAATTTTTACTTAGTGTTGACATGAAAATATACATGATAATATTTAGTGCATTTCAATACTACTTGTTTTAAAAGATACAATTTTCAGGGACCAGCAGTTAGCATAATGGCTATGTCACTCGACTTCCATGTAGCCGACCATGGTTTGAGTCCCAGACCCGGTGGCTTAAATTCACGCCAGGCGCTTGTGCCACCAATGCATGCCCAAGATCCCGAGAGGAATATGGAGGAGAAGGGATTGCAGTGTGGCCATCCCCCCTGCCTGGGGGGGGGGGGGGGATTTCTCACTTTCTGTCTCTCTTTCTCTCTCTCTCTTTCTGGTGAGCACACGCACACTATAGCAAAAACCTCTCCAAAAGAAAAAAAAAGATACAACTTTCAGACATTTGTGTTACTGAGGTCCCAGATAGAATAAAGAAAGTAGTGCTAGGGGAAAATGTATCAAGAAAGAAAGGGTGAAACGTCCTAAAATTTGGCAAAGACATAAACCAGCATGCTCAAGACACTTAGTGAACCTCAAACAGGATAAACCCAAAGAACTTATAACAACACACACCATAACCTTCTGAAAATTAAAGACAAAAATGACATCATGACAGCAACTGAGAGAAGCAATCTAGAGACAGAAAACAATGCGAAAAACAGCAGATATCTCATTTGAAACATGAAGGTCAAAAGGTAGTGACATTTTTTCAAGAGATAAAAAGGAAGAGCTATCAACCTCAAATTCTACATCCGGCAAGAATATTCCTCAGAAATGAATGGGAAGTAGACATTCTTAGACAGAGGAAAACTAAGATAATTTGTTTCCTGCAGACCTATCTTTAAATAATGGTTGAGCTCTTCAAACAGAAGAAAACAACAGAAGAATGCCTGGACACCCCAGGCATCCATACACGTGCCCATGGTCATTGGCTGGCTGGAAGCCGGAGTGAAGAGGAGTAAAGGCATAAGGGGACTCCATCAGGAGTGACTGTCCTTCTCTTGAAAAAAAAAAAGAGAAAAAAAGAACACAATTATTTTTTTCTAGTACATAAATCAAAATAGACATAATCACATTTATAGTGTACATGTGCACTTGTATATGGCTATAACCTCTAGAAGGGTGTTATATATAACATACTTTATAGAAGTTGTATGTGTATGTAACTTTTAAATGTGTCTACATAGAGAAATGCCTTAAGTGTATATAAATACCGTGTGTGTTTATATTTCCTATCCTTTCGCTAAGTAATAACATCTTGTTTTGTTTTGTTTTGTTTTTAAAGAGGTTTTTGCCTTAGGGCACCAGCACTCGCCAGAGAGAGCTAGAGACAGAGACAGTAAGGGGCAAGGTGAAAAATCACCCCCTAGAGGGGATTCCACACTGCAATCCCTCCTCCTTCATTCTCCTCCCTGCATGCATGCACCTAGTATGATTTTGAAACCACTGGGTCTGGGACCCAAACTGTGGTCAGCCATGTGGGAGTCCAGCAACGTAACCATTACACCATCTGCTGGTCCCAGTAATAACATCGTTAGTAAAATTTCATAAAAATTGATACGACAAATTTGGATTGAGGGATTATGTCCCGAGGACTGGTTTTGAAGACCAGTGGTTAAGAGAGCTGGATCCCACAAGGCCACCATGACGCACATCGTGGCCCTGGCAGCTTGCAATATACATGTGTGCATGTGTGCATGTGTGCACATGCCCCAAATCATGATGGGGTGGAGAAACAGAGGAAAAGGGATTGCAGCATAGCCAAGGCCCATGGGGAGGTGCTTACTCCTCCCTCTTTCTCTCTTTGGCAAATACACATGCCATCTACTAATAAAAATAAAATATATCCTTAAAGTAATTGATTTAAGCTCTCTTGGTCTTTTAACTATAAAATAAGCTTTGATTTAAGCTTTAAATTTAAGATTAATTGATTTAAGCTCTCTTGGTCTTTTAACTCAAAAGTAGTTTACCCTACCAGTATGAATAGCAAGAGACCTAATGTAATTTTATATAGCTTTTGCATATAGCTTTTTCTTTTATTTTTTGATAAATTTCAACCACCAGTGACTCCTGAGTTTTCTCAGATGTTTTTCATGGCTCAGAGTATTTGCATCTGCAACAATGTGTGCCCAGAAAATAAACTCAGCTTAGTACTGACCCAACCCAAATGCAATTTTTAAAATGCAGCACGTATTTAAAATATATGGTGGATCGCAAAGTCATGATTAGGTTTTATTATACACTATCTACTACCAGACCACTGCTTTCATTCATTACTGCAATTAACTGTACACATAATTATTTTTTATTGCTAATTTTACACCAGTGATTTCCATTTCAAAAAAAAAAAAATGTTAGCATTTGTCTCTAATTAAATATTTACTGCTTATGTTTTACAGACCCAACATCGGGTTCTTCCTTAGACTGGGCTTACGACTTGGGCATCAAACACACATTTGCCTTTGAGCTCCGAGATAAAGGCAAATTTGGTTTTCTCCTTCCAGAATCGAGGATAAAGTCAACCTGTAGAGAGACCATGCTAGCTGTCAAGTTTATTGCCAAGTACATCCTCAAGCATACTTCCTAAAGAATTGCTCAGTTTGGAAAATATCCATCCTTCTTTTTTTTTGTGCCTTTCACCAGAAAGTCAATTCATTGAAATATACATATATCCCTAGATGTGGCTTCTGCATTACCTGAATAGGTCTTTTTCTTGCTTACTTTTAAGTTTCATGTTATCTCTCTTTGCTTTTATTTTATTACTTTCAGTAGCACCTTAAGAAAGCAGCTTTAAGTGCAAACTTTTAACCGCCAAGTGAGGTTTCAACCCAGTGGAAGACATTATTTTGAGTATTTTGAAAGGTGATACACAGTGGGACACAGCATTTTTTAAAAAGAACAAAGAAGGGAACTTCCGTTTCTCCAAAATTAGGTTTTCACTATGTGGCTTGATCATTTTGTGTGCTAATGTAATAAAAAATAAAACACATTCTAATGCTCTTTTTAAAAAATGTAACATCTGTTTCAATAAACTACAGTTTCTGCATTTCTTTGTTAGTATTAGGAATCAAAATGAATGCTTTTTACTCAGTTTATTAGTAAGGAAGGATATCAGGCCAGCCAGTGGGGTGGTGGTGAAGGCATCTAGATCCTACGTAGCTGACTCCACAGTTCAAGTTCTGCATACATTGGCTTGAAAGATGCATCAAGTGCATGTGCTTACATGCCCAAAATCTCAAAAGAAGGGAGTAATGGAGAAAGACTTGTGGCATGACCATTCCCCATGGCAAGTGCTTTTCTTCTCTCTGTCTTTCTCTGTGTCTCTCTCCAGCAAATACATGCACCCTCTGGAAAAATTTTAAATATAATAACAATGAGGAAGAATACCCTCAATTTGCAAAACACAGTTTGTCTATATTTTTTTCTGGTAGAAGGAGACATTGGGGCTAGCCTTGTAGCCTAGTGGTTACGGGATCCAGATTTCACATGGCCAAACACAATTTGACTCTCTGGACTTAGTAGCTTGAAAAACACACTGGGTGCTTATGCATGTGTGCCCCAAATCTCAATAGGATGAAGAAATGAAGGAGACAGATTGGGGCATGACCACACTTCACTGGAAGGTGCTTTCTCCTCTCCCTTTTTTTCCCATTTGTCTCTCTTTGACAAGTGCACATGCCCTCTCAAAAACAAACAAACAAAAAAATGCAAGCAGTATGTGCACATGCCCCAAATCCCCAACAGAATGGAGAAATAGAGGAGACAGGATTGGAACATGACCACACCTCATTTTCAGCTGCTTTCTCCTTCTCTGTCTCCCTGTTATGCCCAAGTGCCTTCTGGCAACTAAAAAAAAACAGCAGACATTGTTTATATCTTCAAAATAGCAAAAGGACATCTTAGCAAGAAACACAATGCTTCTTACAGAGATGAAGCTCAGTGGACATTAACCCAGCTCTCATCAACATGATGTTCATTAAACTCAAAATAGTTTCTTCTAACCTGTCAGAATCAGAGGAAACTACCTGCTGAAATTTCTCCACACACCACACACAGTTACAGACACAGCCAAGGCCTTCTGGTCAGCCATGACTCCTGCCTTTCTCATGGATAAAAAGGAAGCTGGGAAGTGTATTACAAGGTGAGAAGGTCACGCTGACCACAGGCAATCAGAGTGACTTGTTAACTTTGTACTATCTATAATCCTATTGCTTAATATGGTGCTAATTAATTTTGAATGTCCTAGGATACAAATAATATGAAGCAGCAACCATAAGCAATCTTGGCTGAATTCTCACTTATTCTTTTTATCTTTAAAATATGCCTTTATTTCCAAGTTACTATTGGACTCACAGCCAATGCCTTCCTCATTCTCTTCTACATCCTCATATTCCTTTTGGATCACAGGCCCAGGCCTGATCACCTGTCACCTGGCCCTTGTCCACACAATTAAGCTCCTCATTCTGGTTTTCTTGGAAACCCCAGATCTATCTGAATCACTGAATTTTATTTATTTGAGCATCTATAAAGAACAATGGAGTCCACATACCGCACTGGACCACCTGGACCTTCGGGACTGCATATTATCACCTAAAACCTATTCTCCTCTCTTTCTTTCATTCTCCACACTCTTCTCCCTAGTAATGGTTCTCCCAGTTGAACTAGGCGTGGCAATCTGAATAAAGACTTTATTTAGCATTTAACAGACATAGGAATGCATATAGACAGGGCAAATGGGTGTGGAGTGGCATATCACAACAGAGTAGAAAAAAGGGACGTCGTCAATCATAATACACATTCACACACACATAAAAGAAAGAAGGAATGAAAGAAAAAATAATAGAGCAAAAATTGAGTTACATATCATAATATGGTGTTCTTTGTTGAAAATGATGAATATAATAATAGCCTCATTTGATTATTGAACACTGCATGAACGGTTTGAAAAATCCATATAATAACCCACAAAGATGTACGAGTAAATGGAGATGAGAAATTATTTAAAATTTTTTTAAATAGCACAAATATAAAAAATACTTTCTTCCCAAAATTTCCTTGCTACTGGAAGTGGCTGTTGGACTGGATTGGTCATGAGTTCAAAGAGGAAGCATCATGTGATATAGTCTAGGAAACTATTTCGAAGACTCCCGGTCACACATTTTGGCCCTTCTGCATCCCTGTCACTCTTTAGCTGCAATATACTTGTTATGGCCAATGCTGAGTATTCCTCCAGGCCCGTGAGATGATCTTGAGAATTGAAGCAAAGAAAATGATAGGCGGTGTTTTGGTACATTAAGACTTCACCAAAAAGAAATGCCAATCAAGGTTTGGACCACTTACTTGAGGACTTAAATATTAAAAAAGATGAAAGTCAGTCCTCTGTGTGTGTGTGTGTGTGTGTGTGTGTGTGTGTGTGTGGAGAGAGAGATTTTTGCTATAGCAATATGTGTTTGCCAGAGAGACAAAGAGACAGAGAGACAAAAAGCGAGAAATCTCTCCTGGGGGAATGGCCATGCTGCAGTCCCTTCTTCATTCTCCTCCTGGGATCTTGGGCACACGTGCACATACACCTGGCATGAGTTTTAAGCCACCCGGTCCGGGATTCGAACCGCAATCAACTACTTGGGAGTCCAGCAATGTAACCATTACACCATCAGTTGGTCCCAAAAGTCCTCTTTAAGCCACTGTTGATTTGGATCACTGTTTTTCCCAATCAAACTGAATCCTAACTGACACAACAGGCCAGTAAAAATTTGCCTAATAGCTCCAGATGTATACTAGGTAGAAATCCTTGGAGGAGGAGGATGTGGTGTTACGCAAAATACAGGACTAGAAATCAAGAGAATGGAATTCTGATCCACCACTAAATGATGGCCAGCCCTTTGCCTGCTCTGCTTATCTCCTAGATTTGTGTTAGAATTTAGATAATAGGTGTTCACCAAGTTAACTCGCTGATTGCCATTTCCTTTGTATTGGGGATGAAGTACTACTGTCTTAAAAGGCAAGCCAATGGTCCAATGATTGAAAGAACCAAATCCCACGTGGCTAACTGCACAGGTTTGAAGCCCAGTCCTGGAGGTTTGAGGAACAGACCACGCACATGAGGTCATTGTGCCTAAAGTCCAAGAGAGTAGAGAAATGGAGAAGGGAATGTGATGACCACAGCCCACCGGGGGTGCTTCTCTCTGCCTCTCCCTTTCCCTGTCTCTCTGGAAGAGCACATGCACCCTCTGAGGAATTTAAGCACATACACGAAAAGGACAGCTTAGATGGCTCCTATCTGAATGAAGTGTTGAGTGGTAACAAACAACTGGCACGATTTCTACTCTCAGGTATGGATTCTTCACCTGGCCCTGGGATAGTTGGGTATAAACCAATGTGTGCATATGCATATGTACATTTCCAGCATGCAGAGTTTTGATCAAACCTTTAACACATGTGGGTTATTAATCCCCAAACGTTTAAACACAATCAAATATAAAACCAAACAAAATTTGAAAATTTTTCACACATACAATAAAATTAATTCCAACTCTGGGAATCTCAGAATTTGGATAGTCATTTGCTTCACTTTAATTTGACTTATTTATTTATTTATTTATTTTGATGATTGTTACCATTGGTTTCTTTATTGTCCTTAAATGATCTTCAGAAAAAAATATAAAATGTTCATTAGATGGCTGGAAAATAAAAAAATAGTTCCAATGGTCAAACAGAAAATATTAACTACACTAAAATTGTATAAAATGATTAAATTCTTCCAATGAATTTGTTATAATATTATGATTCTTATAAATAATAACTGAGATTTTATATATATATGTGTATATATGTATATATGTGTATATATATATATATATATATGTATATATGTGTGTATATATAGATTTTTTTTTAAGAGAGATTTTTGCTATAGGGATACACCTGCTTGTCAGAAAGACAGAGACACAGAAAGAGGTAAATCACCCCCTTGGGGGATGGCCATGCCAAAATCCCTTCTCCTCCATTCTCCTCTCAGAATTTTGGGCACACATGCACACGCGTCTGGCATGAATTTTAAACTGCTGGGACAGTGATTCAAACCACAGTCAACTATGTGGAAGTCCAGTGACATAACCATTACGCCATCTGCTGGGCCCAGTAAGTGCATAGTAGAATCTTTTCTTTTTTTTTTTTAGAAAATTAGCACATTCAAATGCACTTAAAAAAAAAAATACTACAGGCTATGTGCACGCCCTAGAGAGTGACAGAGACAGAGAGAGGGAAAGTGAGAAAGTACTCCCTGGGAGAATAACCACGTTGCAATCCGTTTCCTCTTGGGATTTTGGGCGTGCAAGCACACACATCTGACATGTTTTTCAAGCTGCTGGGTCTAGGACTCAAACCACACAGTTCACCATGTGGGATCCAGCCACCTTAACTGCCACACCCTCCTGGCTGGCCCAGTAGTAGCATATTTTGGAGACAACTTCACATATTGCCCTTAAAATCTTTTAATCCATCAAAATAGAAAAAGAAACAATTTTTTTACCACTTGGGGAAGAATGACGTTACAAGAATGAAATGATACGAAGTTCAGATTACCTAGGGTTACAGAGGATGCCTGCTTTTCATTCAAGGGGTGACATAAAAATTATGGGTGGAGCTCTTATTAGGAGAAACAAATACAGGGGCCCTTCCAAACTAGAAGGTTTTACTGTGAAAAACCACAGTAAAAGCAACATTTTCTAAAGAGCAGAGTTAATGTGAGTACATAGCAATATTTGAAAGATTATGCCTTTACACTTCTCCTTCTTAACACAATTGTATTTCATGATTAAAATACCAAGCCATTTTTCTATAATGAGTCATAATAGCATCTTGAAAATTTCGGCAGCACATAGGCTACTGTCAGAATTTCCTTAGGCAAAGCTTTTGGGAGACTTTCTTGCATTTCATTGTCACAAAATCCATTATACCAGGACAGATCTCAGCCTGCCTGAGTAATATCTATCTGAGGGTTATAATTTTGTCATAAAAATTTACTCTCACATGAACTTA